AAATCTGTAGAAAAAGCAATTGTTTTAAAAGAAATCAATTGAGAAATAAAATACTGAAGAAGTGATGACACAAACGGACACAAAACCAGTGGTTAGAAAGCGATGCCTCCGCCGGAGAACTCGATCCGTTGCGGCGATTCAATGAAGTCGAGCCAATCGCTCGCATGTGAGGGCAATAAACCCATTGACTGACACTTATAGAGAGCTAACGCAACGCACAGCAGATTTCCGACAAAATAAATCAGTTTCTGAAGTATTGATTGATTTCCTTCAATCATTTTGAACGCTATTTCCGTAACACAAATACAATGACATTACAGTTAATGTTAAGACAATGGCATTCAAAATGTATTACTTGTATTGATTTGAATGAGTGCTTTGATAGGTCTGAGGAAAAGCATTCCGACCATCATTATAGGGAAGATGGAGATGGAATTGCCCGACATATACATTATGAACAGATTCATTGGGATCTGTTTCATCGGTGCCAACGCTATGTCCCACGACTTCTTCACAATCAGACTGTGATCTGTGGGACGACTCGAGTCGATATGTATTGAAGACGATTGACAGCTATAACCGGGCGGTGAACTCAACTCTGCGCTCCTCTCACTCTTCACCCTATATTTGGACACAATTTTGCCATTAATTGTCATTCAATCGCGAATTCAATCGTCAAATGATATGCGAAATACTTGTTGGAGAAACTGATGGCCCATTTGTGGCGTTTGGTTAACACATTGCGATTCAATTGATTCCCAGAACTCATGGCTTAACGACTGATTCAAACCGATTGTCGCACAAAACAAGTGATGTCTTGATTTAATTGATCCCTAAATACGGCTAAACACTCACTAATGTTGTCAATAAGTCTCACATAATATACGTTCACTTTATGTCCAATAAATGAGTCAATTATTTGCTAAATTAGATTAAGTAATGAAATAATTGTGACATTTATATTGAAAATTAAATAAGTACCATGGTTATAATTGTTATAATGGTTATAATATATGTTCAAACGTGTTATATAGAGATTTAATCAATAATTAACATTAACTTAAATGCAATGATATTTACGTTATTTATTATAAACACATGAAAAGCGATTGAATGCTTGAAAACGTGTTTATCATTAAATTTAACACTAAATGAATGACCGATTGATTGACTGATTGTTTGATTAATTAATGGTTTCGTGAAAATGATTTCAATTGAAGACAAAGTGATGGCCGAAGAGATGGACTCAACGAAGAGTGCGTCCGAAGAGACGATAGAGTTATTGAAATCGATTGAAGAGAAGAGCAATAATTGCCATAAAATGGGTTCAAATCTATTGATGAGACTTAAAGACAATGAGTTATTGACACAAAACGGCAACTCATTTGTTGAGCTCAAGAACCGAGTCTTTCTCTCATATCTCATGGACTTAACGTATTTAGTGCTGAAGAAGGTGTCCGGACAGCGTCTGGAGGGCTCGGATGTGATCCAGCGATTGGTAGAGCACAGGACTGTCTTGGAAAGGATGAGACCAATTGAACACAAACTCAGATACACTTTCGATAAACTCATTAAGACATCGACCGACGGAACCGTTGATCCCAACGATCCGTTGAGATTCAAACCACAACTCAATTCAATTGTCGGCACAAAAGACACGGAAGACATGGGAGACGAAGAATATAACTCCCAGAACGACGATATGGGAAGTAATGACGATATGGAAGAAAGTGGTGATAATGGGAAGAAAGTTCGGTCTGATGTTTACGTACCGCCAAAAGTGGCGCAAATGAGGTTTGATGTCGAGGAGGACCGGAAGGCCAAGGCTTTAGAGAGGGCTAAGAAGAAGGCGCTCAACAGTTCCATTATCTCGGAGTTGAGGCGCGAGTTTGACGACAGACCCGAAGAAGTGACACATTCTGTTGAATCGCATAACAAAATGAATCGTTTCCTCAAAGACAAGACTGTCTTCGAAGAGGAATACATGACACGAATGAGTTTGACTAAAAAGCAACGAAACGAAGCCAAACAAATGCGAATCCAATCCATGACATCCACGACCGCCGGTTTGACTCATTTCGGAGACATCACTGCATTAGACATCGACCACAACAGCGACTATCAGTTTTCCAAACAGAAGAAGAGGACCTCTTCTAAGAACAAGAAATATAAGAAGGGTTTCAAAAAGTTTAAGAAATAGATTTTATGTATTTTTTATTTATTGAAAATTCATTTTTAAGTTATTTATCGCTGAAAATTGAATTTCAAAAGTTGTATAAATGTTTTAAAATCAATAAATGAAAAGTATTTTTGATGTTTTATATATCGTATTAATAATTTTATTATTAGTTAACTGGACTTATAAACAATATGAAAGTAACCACGTTTAATTAGGATTATGATGGTGATACTGTCTTATTGATTTCATTATTAACAATTCCTAAATACACTACTATATAATAATTGATTATTTTCATAATTTATATATAAATTCTATGAATATTAATACACAGTAAATGAACATTCAAACAATACTATGCAATGTATAGCGTATATAGAGTTAAATTAACAATTTTGTTAATTAATAATAATTATTATGTGATTATCAGAGCTCTTATATTTGAAGTAAATCTTTTGATATTTATTAAAAAACCATTAAATCGATTGGAAATAACCGTAATGTTTAAATATAAAAATAATTATCCCGTAAAATTGATATTGTTTTATAGATATATCGAAAAAATCATATTTAATTAAAAGTTTTTAATGTGTGATAAATTAAAACATAAGAATCAATCTTTATTTGCAAAAGATTGTGAGCAAACAAATTAAAAGAAAATCCATTAATGGTTTAATTCATAGACTTCTATGTATGCAATCATATGAACTAATATTATTGAAAGACTATATAATTACATAACATTTGTGTGGATCCGATGCATCGGTGGCATCAAAGCCGTTGTATTTTTCAATGAGAGCTTAATGTATAGGAGTGACACCGGTAGTAGTGAACAGGCAGAGAGAGAGTTTGGATGAGAGTTAAGCTGAGAGGCAGTGAGAAAAGTGAAAGATATTTTGCAG